ATATAGATGAGAGACAGAGAGTGAAATGTTTATTTTAAGGAGCTGGCTCACACAGTTTTGGAGGTTGGCAAGTCCAGAATCTGCAGGGTGGGCTGGCAGGCTGGAGACCCAGGAGAGAGCCGATGTTATAGTTCAAGTCTGAAGGCCATCTGCCACAGAATTCACTCTTGCTTGGGGAAGGTCAGTCTTTTTGTTCTGTCCAGCTGGGGATGAGGCCTACCTACATTATGGAGGGCAATCTGCTTTACTCAGAGTCCACTGATATAAAATGTTAAATGTTTATCTCATCCAAAAACACTCTCACAGAAACATCCAGAATAATGTTTGACCACATATCTGGGCACCTGGCCTAGCCAAGTTGGCACATAAAATTAACTCTCACAATAGGATTCTGGCAAGATTGATAAGGAGAAAAAGAGAAAAGACAAATAATATTAGGAATGAAAAAAGGGAGAAATAACCCTAGACATAGCAGAGATTAAAAAGCTAATACATTACAACTCAATGATAAAAAGACAGCCTACCCTATTAAAACATGGAGAAAGGCTCTAAATAGACATTTCTCCAAAGAAGATATACAAATAGCCAATAAGCACATGAAAAGATACTCAGCATCATTAGTCATTAAGAAAATGTAAATCAAAATCATAATGAGATATCACTTAACACCCACTAGGATGGCTATAATTAAAAGAAAAGCACCTTCCCCTAACCCCGCCATAGTACATTGCTGGTAAGAATGTAAAACAGTGCGGCTACTTTGGAAAATAATTTGATAGTTCCTCACAAAGTTAAACATAGAGTTAACATATGACACAGCAGTTCTATTCCAAGAGAACTGAAAACATATGTTCACACAAAGACTTGTACACAGATGTTCATGGCAGCATTATTCATAATAGCCCCAAAGTAGAAACAACCCAAATGTCTGTCAGCCCCTGAATGGGTAAAAAAATGTTGTATATCCACACAACGGAGTGTTCCATAAATCAAGAAATATCGTTAATTCTGTGTACCTAGAGTATTTAAAAATTAAAATTCTACAATAAACGTAATTTTCCAATAAAACTGTACAGTGCATGTAAAACAGATCCAATTGAATATCTTTATTCTCTAGGCTTCAAGATGATAACTGCTAATAAGATACGGTTTTTCACAAACATTTACATTGTATTGCTATTCAAGGATTAATACACTTAGTCTCTACCCATCAAGGTTTAGTCAGAAAGACAGAAACCAATTTTTTTAGCTTTTTAAAACAGGATAACCAGCCCAGGGAGCTGTGTGAAAAGGTATTGAGGGGACCGCAGAAGCAAAAAGGGAGCTCAGAGAAAGTCACTTTGGGAAGCTGCTGCCGGCCCTGGGGCTGAGGGAGCAGAGAGAAGGGCTTGAGGTTGTGAGAGCCAAGAGCTCAGACAAGGGACCTCCCACTCCCACCCCCACCCCAGAGGTGCAGCCCGTCCTCTGAGAATGGGCTGTCTGCCCAGCTGATGCTGGTTCCTTTGAAGAGGCTGGTCCTGGGAGTCTAGAAAAAAGCTGTAAACTCAAACCGACTGCCAATGCAAGGATGAAGCAGAGTTGCTGAGGACTTGCATATTGGACAGCAATCAAACAGGAACAAATGGTCTTTCCCTCCTCCTGCCTCCCAACCTCCCTTTAATGTTTTCTTTTGGCAGAACCTAGCCAGCTGGCAAAGGAGAGATGTGGTTTGCAGAGTACTAGCCCATCCTACAGCTGGCTGTAGAGGCTGGGTTGTAGCTGAGATACAGGAGCTTAAATATTGGCATGTGGTCCCAAACTTATTTTATTCCAAATAGTGAGATCATTTAATTTCAGGAAAAAAAAAAATATTGCTTTGCTTATATTCTGATACCAACCCCAGTTGGTGTCTTGAAATTCAGTTCTGGCACTAATGACCCCACAGGTTAAAGGGCATGGTCCACAACAAGACTAGCCTCACTTCAGACCAACTGGCTACCAGTCCAGGGGCCACTCACAACCCCCCTTGGGTTCTATAATTCACTAGAACGTCTCAAAGGATTCAGGAATGGGCTGTACACACAATAACAGTTTTGGTATCAAGGATACAGCTCAGGAACAGCCAATGAAGACACACACAGGGCAGAGTCTGGGGGGCTCATGAATGCAGTTTCCGTGTCCTGTCCTGGAAGGAGAGGATTCCTCTCCATGGAATCATGACTTGTCACCCTCCTGGCATATCAGTGTGTTCACCACCAGGAAGCTGCACTGAGCTTCAGTGTCCAGTGTTTCTATTGGGGTTTCATTACCTAGGCATGGTTGATTTAATCATTAGCTACAGAATTGAACTCAATCTCCAGCCCCTCACCCCCTCCCTGGAGGCAGGGCTAGCTCAAAGCCCCAAACCTCTAATCATGTGGTTTGTCTTTCTAGTGACCAGTCCCCATTCTGAGTCATCTTATCTCTTAGCATAAACTCAGGTGTGAACCCAAGGGGCTCAGGAATAAGAAAGACCCATTTGGGAAATTCCAAGGATTTAGTCTCCCTCCCAGGAACCAGGGACAAAAACCAATCAAATTCTTTCTTACAAAACATCTTACAGGGACTTCCCTGGTGGCGCAGTGGTTAAGAATCCGCCTGCCAATGCAGGGGACATGGGTTCGAGCCCTGGTCAGGGAAGATCCCACATGCCACGGAGCAACTAAGCCTGTGCACCACAGCTACTGAGCTTGCGCTCTAGAGCCTGCGAGCCACAACTACTGAGCCCGTGTGCCTAGAGCCCATGCTCTGCAACAAGAGAAGCCACCGCAATGAGAAGCCTGTGCACCGCAACGAAGAGTAGCTCCCGCTCGCCACAACTAGAGAAAGCCTGCGTGCAATAACGAAGACCCAGTGCAGTGAAAAGTAAATAAATAAATAAATTTATGCTTAAAAAAACAAAACATCTTACAAAATGAGAAGAAAATGTGATATTATTAAATGATGCCCAAATTCATTTGACAACAAAAGTTCTCATTCCAAGATTTAGAAGCATATAAAATAGGAAATCAGTGCTAGAAAAGCCCTGAGAAATAAGCCATTTACCAACATTAATAAGCTAGTTCAATACATTGATAAGTGAGCTTTGTTCCAAAACTTGCTCTTATTTGGAGCTTAGAAACCCATTCTTCTAGAGACGATCTTACCCAATGCTTAGTTTAAAAATTTAATAGTAACAATAGTCCAATAGTAATAATTACTGGCATTTATTGAGCTGGAAATCTGCTATATGCTGATGTATTATTCTAGATGCTAGGAAGTAATAAGGACGATGGAAAGAAATGGTGAACCTGCGTCAGAAGCAACATTACAAGAGATTGTCTTTTTCAGACACCTATAGAACCTTAAAAACATAAGTAGTCATTGCATTCCTGGATAAATACTCTGAGAAAAAATAGCCACAGCATTGTAGTGAGAAATAAGAGGAAGAACATATAGGATGATGCTTAACATAGTAGCATCGAACTCCATAAATATTAAGAGAAAAACAACTCATCCAAGGTGGGACTCAGTCTATAGTACTTAAGTGGATTTACGACTTAGCATAACATAAGCATGAAAATAGAAAAAGTAATGCATCTGGCCCAAGTACTTAAAGATGGTGAAAAGGTAGGGCTGTACTTTAGTATGTGATCAAGATCAGGGTAGTAGAGATGAACTGTCCATAGAGCACAGGTATGAACCAGGAAAATGTGGCCTGGTGACTTTTTTTTTTATTGAAGTGTAGTTGATTTACAATGTCGTGCTAATCTCTGCTGTAGTCACAGCAGAGTGACTCAGTTATACACATATAGACATTCTTTTTTTAGATTCTTTTCCACTATGGTTTATCACAGGATATTGAATATAGTTTCCTGTGCTATACATTAGGACCTTCTTATTTATCCATTCTAAATGTAATAGTTTGCATCTGCTGTTGGCTTTTTTTTTTAAGTATAATTTAATGAAACAAAGTAAACAAAACCTCATTTTAAAAAATTACAAATCACAAAGAAAGGACTTCAGAATAGTGAGAAAAGAAAAACTAATACAATAATTTTTTAAAGTGTATTTGCACTGCCTAATATCTATGGGTGATTTTATTTATTCATTTGACAGTCATTCAATGTCCAGTGTTGAGCACTGTGCTGGGCAGAGAATAGAAGATGAATCACACATGGTGCAGGGAGTGGACAGCCTAGAAGAAAAATATTTGTGTCACAGACTGGAAGCATAATGCAGGCTTTCCTTTGATGTGTGGTTGAATGCATTATGATGTTAAGAAAGATGCATGAAATGATTTGTTTAAAGAATTAGTGAGATAAGAAAATGTTCTATACAGCTTAATGAAAAATGGAAGTTCAGAGAAACAGAAAAATCCTATTATAACATATAGATAAAAATGGAAAACGTCTGCTATCAAATATAGAAATGTTTCATTTATTTTTTCTCTTAGAACATGTGTATTGTATAAAACTGTGATTTTCACACTCTCAGGGGACAGTGGTGAGCCAGTGGGTATGATATTATGTCCTCTTTCAGTGCCTCAGGCTCCTTACCTGTAAATGAGGAAAAAGCCCTTTCTCAGTTAACAACGTAAGGCTGGGTTCAAAGATGTGTGCCCCTACCTGCCCCTCATGAGAAGGGTGATTAGGCTTCAACAAAGCTCTTTTCTGAGGCCTTCACCATTTCTAGACGCGTGCGCTAGAGAATAGTCAACCTACTAAAAAGAAGCATTTCTCATTGGAAACGTCGTTCCTGGATTTTCTAACCATTATTTATTCTCACTGGCCAGGTTACCCTTTCCCTACCGCTC